TAGTTTTATTTAATATGACACTAAAATATACTATTTTCTGAATTACAAACTTAAAATTGAATATTTGTCATAAGATGCAATATAATGTTTAATATGTAATAAAAATATTACTTAATCCGGATCTGCTTAAAGATGCGCGCGATCAGATTGCCTTCCACACTTCACTTCCCCGGATTTTGCATTCACTGGTACCCGTGCATTGGAATTAGATACGGCCAGTCTAGGTGGTCTGTGGTTGAAACCCTTTTCATGAGAAACTTTGATGGAAATAACTGATTACTTGCTTTTTCTACTCAATTTAACATGAACTCAGCGAGATACGTGTATGAATTTATTATTTATTGTCTAAGTAATATATTTCAGCTAGGCATGCGGTAGGCGGTACTTAATAAAGCAACTAGGATATTCCATATACAGCAAGAGTTATTACTGTATTGTACTATTGTACTTTCAAGAAGCCTTGTATTTTGCTCTTATTACTTACAATTTAGAGAAGACCAGAAATGGTATTACTCGCGTTATGTTTCATTGTGCGCATTTCGATTTATAAATTCAAGTTATGTTACCTTGTCCTTCTTTAAGTCATGGCGCCTCAAAGTCCAAGTGTGTATGTGTGCAGATCCTGTGCGCTGCAAATACGTACAAATTCGTATAAAATTCAGTGCAGAAAATGTAAATACTGGTTTCATCGTGATTGTGCGAACCTAAGTATTGAGGATATCCAACAGCACCTAAAGAATGATATGACTTGGGTATGTAATACCTGTTTAGTCGTAAGCAATGGAGATTCAAAGATAGCAGAAACAATTACTACCTCGAATGTTACACCATCGGTTGAATACTTATATCAGGAAAATCAATTCCTAAAAAAACTGCTAAAGGAGTTGGAGGATAAAAATGCCTTACTTGTTGAAAATAAACAATTGTTAGAGGAAAAACTTGGACGGCTACAAGAACGAACCGAAAAACGATCGGAAATTTCCAAGGCGAACAAACCAAAACAAAAGACCACGTCGACAGATATCGTATCGCAGACTAATGTATTGGATATCAATAAACATAAAAACAAGGACACTAATAAACCGATTGTGGCACCACAACAGAACCCGTCGAACAGTCACGCCGACACAGCTGACTCCCTGGTAGTTACAGGGTGGCGAGAAGTTACTAAAAAGCGTAGAAATGTAAAAATCGGTACTGGAAGCTGCAACTCTGCGGATGAAGAGATCGCGTTTAGGGGTAATGATAACATTAATAGAAAAGTATGGCTGTTCATCTCCAAAGTTAAAGATGATGTAACAGAAAATCATATTAGAAAATACATAATTAATAAAGCAAATCTAGGGGATAATGACGTAATTGTGGAACCTATATCAACCAAGTATGATAGTACTAGAAAGGATTGCAAATGTTTCAAGGTGGGTATTAAGTTTGAAAAAATGAGTTTGGTGTATCAAGAAGACTTCTGGCCGAGTGGTGTATCCTATAGGAGATATAAATTCAATTTACGTACCAATGTAAAGCCTTTTTTAGGAAAAATGGCTACACCGTAGCAAATAATGTTAAAAATGGTTTACAAATTCTGCATTTAAATGCCCAAAGCATTAGAAATAAGATTCCTGAATTTGAAGTTTTTTTGTCTGATAAATCTATTGATGTTATATGTCTCAGTGAACACTGGCTTAGTTGTAGTGAGATTGAGTATATAAAACCGCAAAATTATTGTGCCATCTCAAATTTCTGTAGGAAGGAACTAATGCACGGTGGTGTGAGTATACTGGTAAGCTGTTCTCTTGTGTCACCTGTTGCTCTAACTTTTATAAATGAAGTATCTGTGGAATTTCACTGTGAAGTAGCTGCGGTTGAATACAAGGAAACTCAAATTGTTACAGTTTATCGATCCCCTAAGGGCGATTTTAATTTGTTCCTGGAAAAAATGACTTTAGTTTTGCATAAACTCAATATGAGGAAAATTATTATACTGACTGGAGACTTTAATGTAAAGTTTAATTTGAATGACAAGGAGTCTAACCTCCTTATAAATTTGTGTCTCTCATTCGGCTTAAGTAAAACGATCACTGCATGTACCAGGGGTAAATCCTGTCTTGACAATATTTTTACAAATCTTGACTGCAATGCCTTTTCTACTCATGTTTATGACGCTAATATTTCTGACCACTCAAGTATTCTAATTATGATTAATTCCCTTTTAACAAGTGCAAGTGACAACCTAATTACCAGGGTTAACTACAGGCCTATAACGAATATTGGGTTGTTTCAACTCTATAGATATGTTGAGAGTTGGGATTGGTCTTTTGTTAGGGATGTCAATATAGACACGAATACAAAATTTGAAATTTTTATTAAGGCTCTTGGCACAGCCTCAGACAGAAGTTTTCCTATAAAATCTAGGTTAGTAAAAAATTCTAAGTCTTCTATAATTTGGTTTAATGATCATCTCAAACATATGAGGGACCACCTGTATTACTTATGCGATCTTAATAGTAAATTTCCTAATATTATCAGCACCAATACTATCAAATCGTTTAGATGTAGTTACAGGCGAGAAATTTCTAAAGCCAAACGGATCGCTAATGATAACTTCATAAATAACGCCAGCAACCCACAAACGGCTATGTGGAGCATTATTAATGATCATAAACCGAAACCTAAATCATCTGCTGAATGTAAGATTGATCCCCAAGCATTTAATATCTTCTTTTCCAATATTGCTCAAGAAATTCTTAGCGGCCTACCAAGTACCAATATGGTATTTGATGATTATTTAAAATCCCCAAATTCTCTTTCAAATTTTAAGTTTCGCAAAGTAAGTTTCAATGAAGTTAGAGATGTCTTGGATAATCTAAAAAATAGTTCGACTAAAGACCCTTATGACATTAATAGTAAAATAGTCAAAACCTTAAAAAATCTATTTCTGTCCCCACTCAATTATTTATATAATGAGTGTATTCACTA